TGCGAAAGATCTTAGATCTTATATTTGTCAATAAAGTTATAAAATCCGCAAACAATGCGAAAATTTGCGCATAGTCCCTCGTGATCGAATATAAATGCATCGCGTCGCTTCGCTAATGATCGGATAAACACTTTTTCGAAAACGCAACAAAATATTTGCTCCACGGAATAAGCTCGCACAAATCGCATCTGACAAAACTGAAATTTAACAATTATATGTAAAATCAAAAGCTATAAATTAGTTTTTTGTTTTAACAAGAGAAGTTGAGACACGTAGCGATAAAATTGAATGAATTTTCAACACGGTAAAGATAAGTTTAATAATTTTCTTCTATGGTTTTCGTTTCCTTTTTAAGAAATAAAGATGTTAAAAAAAATCAATATAAAGTAATATGTAACAAAAGTTTCTCTTGGTCTAAATTTTCAAAAGGAGAAAAGCAAGTTTGAAAGAACAATATGATAAATCCACATTCTCTGAATACATATTAGAAACCATTCAATTTTTTCCCTACGCGTTGTGGAAAATATGACGGCTCCGTATAATCGTTAATTACCGCGAGACATATATGCTAACGAATCGTCGTAAGCAAATTTGGTAATTATGCAGTATAGGGGACCACCCTCCGATGACCTTGACCTTGACATATGTTGTCAAGGTCACCCTTCTGAGTGACCTTCAGAAGGTTTTAGCCCTCGGTCATTGTTCGTTAAAAAGTTATAAACAAAAAAAGTTTGAAAAATACAGCAGCTATTTTGAGTATTGGAAGGCATAAATGACTAATATATATGTCGAAATAGTTCACGCATACACTTTTCACGCGAACCGAGGTTTACGCACACCTCCCCCTGCTTTCGGGGGAGGTGCGGTAGTCCCGAAATAGTTCACGCATACACTTTTCACGCGAACCGAGGTTCACGCACACCCCCCCCCTGCTTTCGGGGGAGGTGCGGTAGCCCCGAAAGCAGGGGGGTGTGGGTGAACCTCGGTTCGCGTGGAAAGTGTATGCGTGAACTTTTCATGCGTGGAAAGTTAATATGCGAGATGCCACATGGGTTAGATGACGCGCTTTAAACTGTTCGCGTATTCAACTGTTTAAAGCGCGTCATCTAACCCATGTAAGTATTCTCTGCTTTAACAAAAAGACTTCAATTTATCAACAATTTACTACTTTAAATGTTGTGTTTTGGTGAAGCAGTGACTTTCTCGCGAAATAAAGTATTCTCTGCTTTAAAGAAAAACGTAATATTAGTCGTTTATGCCTTCCAATACTCAAAATAGCTGCTATATTTTCCAAACTTTTTTTGTTAATAACTTTTTAACGAACAATGACCGAGGGCTAAAACCTTCTGAAGGTCACTCAGAAGGGTGACCTTGACAACATATGTCAAGGTCAAGGTCATCGGAGGGTGGTCCCCTATACTGCATAATTACCGCAAATTCCTCGAAACGTTCGTTACAAGAGAAAACGAAAACAATTTTTGGACAAGAACGGAAGCGTTCGTTTGATCGTCATCGTCGTCATCATCTTCGTTTCTAACTAAGCCGAAAAGATGTACGTACTCCACTAACAACTTTGTAAGATAAATGATAACTATTCTTGATATCAGCATTCGCGGCATCTTAAAGTCCCGATGGATAAAAACTAGATACTTGTAGCATCCGAGTTTGATTTAGTCGGGCAACGTGAACACAGTTTCACGTTTGCCCGTCTCTGTGAAAAAAAAACGCCGATCACCTTTTTCCTTTCTTTTCAAGTACTATGTAAACTTGTAAACTATAAATGTATAAAAACGATTAGGTACTCGCCGCGATGTAAAGAAAGTAACACAATACAATTTCTTTATAACTCTCGAAATCAGAACTGTTTTTAAATCTGTTTGGATTTCTAAGCACAAAGAAAGACATTTCTTTTGCTTATGTATTATTCGACAAATCAATGATACCCTTCATGGAGTGCAGTAACGGCTGTCGCATACTAACAATGAAAACGAAGACGAGGGCGAAAACGGATAAAAGATTGAAGCGCACTCGGAAGGGAAATGAAAGCACCGCGAGCTTCCTCTTCTCGACGGTCCTTCAACTTTATTCGCGAGGCAACGATACTTTACGCAAATATTCACTTTCTGTATACAATCATAATTAGTATAGCTAATCATCCGTCGACGAAACATATCGCTCGCGTAAAACAACCGCTTCGGCGTAAACTGCACGTTATGCAGTTATAGATAATTAACAAACTGAATAAAAAACTTAATTATTAAGGGGATGCTGGAGCCGTCTGTTTTACCGGCATTTTTTGTCGGCACGTAGCGTCGTATTAATTTGACAGAATTAAAAATCCTTCTCCAGAATTGCAGTACATACATTAATGATTCGGGGGAACTCTGATTTTATATAGAAAACGAGAAAAAATTACGAAAGTACAGATTTCCTTATCCTACTTTTATTCCAATATGGCGTCTCGAGTTGCGGCGAGCTGTCAGCTCGTCACAAGATGTATTTCATATAAGAGATATACCATTGGTACGAACGCGAAAACAAGTTCCCCCGAATTGCACAACAAGAAAAACATCGATAAACCCTCCAAATCAAGATTTGGAAGCGTAATATAAAAGTATAATGTCGATGCATCGTGCGTATGTGTGCGTGCAATGTAGCGTGCTATCCTTGTCCATATCTTTGTCTATACAAAGACAGATATAGTTCGCCGGTCTTCTTTACCGACGCCGATCGAGTTCGGCTACGGCTCCAGCATCCCCTTAAAAGTAAGTAATTTTTTAAGAGATGTATATATTACTTGCAGTATTAAATGCTATGTTTTATGTCTCAAAATTTATTAAATTGTCTCCTATTTTTTGTGGCAATTATCGTTAAAAAGCAGGACACACATACACGTTAAAAATTCTTACGAAATAAAAGAAAAATATATATCCATAAACTAATACTTTTGATCGATTTAGTATATATGTAAACTATTCCGGAAACTTTTGTGTTATTTCAATAATTATCATAAGTTTTAATTGCTGTTAAGTTGACATTATCTATTTATTTCTTTCATCTAACAATAAACTGTATTGAATTTTTCTTATTCCAGAAGCTTTTAGAGCAATATTCCTTCGAAATACAGAAAAAGATTTTGAACACTTTGTAATGGAGTGGTTCAGATTCGCAAACGTCCGTAAGAAAAAAAAAACATTAAAAAGGTAATGTAATGTATTTCGGTATATACTCTCCATAAAATAAAATCATTATAGTTTGCCGCGTTATAATTTATAAGTAACTTTTTTACTAATTTAATTCTACTTTTTCAGGAAGTGATAAATATATTATCTTATTTGCGTGGCTCCGCGCGAGTGATTATTATAGTAACAAATTTTTTTATTTAAAAGATGAGTTTTATCCCAAAACCTTCCGCTTGGATCAGTGATCTTCAGATATTATTGTGATAAACTGAAAACTGTAATATATGGTATATAGATATTATTTTTATATAAATAAAACTTTTTTATGATAATTAATGAATTATTCCCTAATGCAGATTAGTAGTATAAAAAATATTCATATCTGACAGTATATATTTATTGTATATGAACATGTAAAACTTATATATGTTCATATATGTTCATATATAAATAAGATATGAACAGATATAAGTTTTACATGCCTATATATAGAGCATATATAATCATATATGGTTATCTATTGCCATATATGATCAGATCGTATATTATACATAACACAAGATCTGATCATATAAGTTCATATATGGTCAGACATATTATTATGTGTAGCAGATATGACACTATACATAATCGTATCTGGCCTTACATGATCGTATATAAAGAATGTTTGGCCATGTATTATCAGATGTAATTATATATGGTCATACATAACTATATCGGCACTGTACATGATCATATATGACAAGACGCGATGTATATATTACCAGACTGGAATATAATGATAATAAAATGTCCGGGAAAAATATTCATATCTGACAGTATATGAACATATATAAATGAGATATGAACAGATATAAGTTTTACATGCCCATGTATAGAGCATATATAATCATATATGGTGATCAGAATCATATATGGCGATACATAACCATATATGATTATATATGCTCTATACATGGGCATGTAAAACTTATATCTGTTCATATCTTATTTATATATGTTCATATACTGTCAGATATGAATATTTTTCCCGGACATTTTATATCATCCCGGGAAAAAATATTCATATCTGACAGTATATGAACATATATAAATGAGATATAAACAGATATAAGTTTTACATGCCCATATATAGAGCGTTTATATATATATATATGTGTTTTAAGTCCGACAAAGTCCATATTGGCACGCAGTTTAAAAAACTGAAAAATATATTTAATAATAATTGATATTGTGAAATATTATTAAGCACCCAGATCCACTTCGACCAAAAACGGCATCTCATTGCTTGTGTTATTTTAAATTTTTCTTTTTTTCTAATTTTGCATAAGACACTTAATCTTTTTTAATTGACATATTAATTTTTATCAAATATTTTTATAAACAATGAAATTTTACTTTTGTGAAAAAAACTGTTATATAATATATATTATAGTTCTTATAAATAAATATATTAATCGTATTATTTTGCAAACATAATATCTTATAATTTAAACTGAAAATCATATATAATCATATATGAACTTATATAGTCATATAAGATTATATATGATCAGATCAGATATTGCATCTCAAAGTATCCGATAGATGGCATTCGATGGGATCTGTTTCTCGTATTTAAAATTTGACCAACAGTGTTATAAGAATGGTATCAAAAGACACGACACTGTCTCGCGCTATGAAGCGGCACAATTTTTGTATCAGTTGTATCGTGGAGTCCACTTTTATAATAAAGTGGCACACTTAAAAAATAACTTTTGAAAATATATAACAATGTTCTAAAACTTACTTAAATATATATGTCCAGATTAAACTGTGTCAGTTCGTATCTGATCATACCTGATCATATCTGATCAGATATTAACATATACAATAATACCAGATCATATATCCTCAGATCTGGCCAATTTCCATATCTGACCATATATGGCCAATCATATATGATTATATATGATCATATATGAATATTTTTTCCCGGGTTGATATTAATTTAATTTGATCTAAATTTATTGTCAATTCTATGTCTGTAATGTAATTTACTTCAACAGCGCTTCCACAGACAATTGTGTCTCCTTTAAATGTGACAGCTGGGGCAATAATTAAGCAGAGATCAAATCTAGTATTAAATATTAAAATTAGAATACTATAATTATCATATAAATTTTTACGCGTTTAAATTATATTAATTGTATTACTTCGTTAATACTGGAGATGTTGAAAAGTATGGATCTAGACTACTACCATTCCCGAGTTTATTCCACTCTAATGCTGGATTCTTGCGGCGTTTATTGTATATAAGTACGATTGAGACATCCTCTGAAAACAATGACGCTTGTATCAAATCTGGATGTTTCAAAAATTTTCTTTTAAGTTTTACAGTTTAGACAATGTATAAAATATTTCCTTAAGAATTGTGGAAAAAACAATACAGTTTTGATGGTAAACCTTATTAAAATGCTTAGCTGATAATTCTTCCAAGTAGTGGTATATGCACACGTACACTCCTTTAACACTAATTTGATATTGTCGATCCTCTACAGCCGAACCTGGTACGTTTAATATATTTGCTCGAGCAGCCAGTTGATAAATGTCGGTTCGCAATGAAACTCTACAAATTGGATTTTCTGCATCCGGCGTAATACGAATTCCGTCCAACTATATAATATATAATATAATACCAAAATAAATAAGTTTAAATATTAAATCTTTATAATAAGAAAGTTATACAAGAGCAAAATGGTTTACAACCTGAAGCATCAATAAATCGTGTTGTAATTTATTCGTATCAGTCGGCATCATGAGACGAAAACCTTTGAATTCCAAATGTATCAATATGGCAACGATTTATTATTCAAGTTGGTTATGCCAACTAATGGTGTTGCCATGTTTTTATAACGGATAAATTCTGTGTTTTTTTCAGTAGATGAATTCAGGCACGTAAAAAATTTCACCAGTTGAGCATATTTGCTAATTACACTAATTGGTAAGATTATATCGACCATTTGCATTTTAATAAGTATTTCAGAAATGTAACCGTTTGTAGACAACGTAGAATCAAGCAGCAATTCTTTCTAGATATTAGAGTATCACAGAGGTAATTTCGCAAGATAAATAGATAAACGATATTCTTAATTTAAGCATGACTGATTTTAAATACAATGATTGAATAATTATCCTATCTTCTGAGGTTTGTAACCACTTTATACTCTTAAACTCTTTTCACTTTCATCACAAACGTAGTTATTCAGAGTCTGTCAAACACTTCTAACAGCTCTCAATAGCATTCAGTGGCTAATTGAGCTAATTCCCTCCAAATTTCTGTTCTAATACACAGATAGGTATTTACTTCTGACCATTTAAATTCTGAGAGGGAGCGGAGCAGAACGGAGAAAGGAAGAGCAATTGAGAAAGAAGTATAGAGAACGACGTTCAGATGGTGTTAGTGGGCGCTTACTTGTAGCGACTTGCCGCTACTGCAATTAATGTTCTGTCGGTTTTATAAAAATAAATGCACTTTTAATGAGGCTACTAGAAAAGTTTATTAAGTATCACCAATGTACAGACGACTCGAGTATAACGAGTATGACGCAACTAAAACTACGCGAGACGATAACCGTCAGTATCTGACTATCGAATCGAATTGACTGTCGCAGTGGCGCAGCAACGAAAGAGCTCGGCTTCCCTGGATCACGAACTCACTAGATGAGTAGTGGGGAAACTCGACGGTGGCTACATACTCCCCCCCGAGTGTTAACGAAAGGAAAGTAATATTGCACAGTAGTTATGTTGCTTACATGCTAATTAAAATATGATAATATAATTGAAACGCTGAGCTTACCACTAATAATGTTACGCTAATGCTAGACTTACAAATTAAAGGGTTGACAATACAGTATAGGGGTAAACGCTAAAATTACGAATACGCAATGAAAAGAATTATGGCTCTTTATTTAGATTGAATCGTACTTGCTTTTTTTGTGCCGGATACGTTCTAATTTGTTTAGACGGTTGTTCTACCGAAGGGGAACAATTACTAGGCTGATTGGAAGTAGAGGGAACGTACGTCTGTTGTAGGTGTTTCAATCACGTTATCCAATAAAAAATGTGCAGGTTTAAGACGTTCTATAGAAACACTGAGCGGTCGATTATTGACTTCAATTGTATAGACTTTATCGGAATTTCTTTGCAGAATTTTGAAAGGACCAGAATACGGTCGTTCCAGAGGTCTTTTAACTGCATCGTGTCGTAGAAAAACATGAGAACACGAGTTCAATTCCTTAAAGAAAAATGCGCGTTTTTTGTAGTGGTGAGCCACCGGAACAGGTTTAACTTGGCGCATGAAATTTCGAAAGTCGTTAATGAAGATCTGAGGATCTGGAGAAAAGTCTTCCTGAAGAAAAAATTCTCCGGGCACTCGAAGAATGGTGCCATAAACATACTCAGCTGGAGAAGCCTGCGTATCCAGACGTATATGCGTTCGTAATCCGAGGAAGACGGTTGGAAGGGTGTTGACCCAATTCTCTGTACCATGGCACATTAAAGCTGCTTTTAGTGAGCGGTGCCAGCGCTCAACCATACCATTTGACTGAGGGTGGTAAGCGGTTGTACGAATGCGCTTACAGCCTATTAAAGATAACAAAACTGCGAAAATCTGAGACTCAAATTGAGCTCCTTGATCAGTTGTTAAAATTTTGGGAGCGCCAAAACGAGTGATCCAATGATCGTAAAAGGTTTTAGCTACTGTCTGGGCTGTGATGTCAACCATCGGAATTGCTTCGGGCCAGCGAGAGAATCTGTCGATTAAAGTGAGGCAGTATCTATAGCCGTTCATAAGTGGTAAGGGACCAATAATGTCTAAGTGAATATGCTCAAAACGCCCATCAGGAGCGATAAAAGAAGCAGGAACTTGTTTGACATGACGGGAGACTTTAGATTGTTGACAGTCCAAACAGCTATGTGCCCATTTGGTAACGTCACGATGTAGGTTAGGCCAAATGTATCGTTGACGTATGATGCGGTCAGTGACCTTGGCATTGGGGTGGGCGGGATTATGAAATAAATCAAAGACCTCTTTCCTAAGAGATGCTGGAATGTAAGGACGGATAACTTCTCCTGACAATTCACAGTAGAGCTCTGTATTAGGAGAACCCCAAACAAATTTTTTGAATTTGAGGGAAGATGTGTTAGAAGCGAGTAAATGTTTAAGCTCGTCATCTTCTTTTTGCCGAGAGGCAAGATCAACTAACTCGAATTCGGTAGGTAAGCAGAATGCTTCGATTCGCGATAAACCATCAGCTACCACATTATCGGGACCGGGAAGGTAATCGATGTTGGTGGAGAATTGAGCTATAAAGGATAGTTGTCGCACTTGCCTCGGGGAGGCTTTATCCGAGCGCTGTTTAAACGCGTAAATTAACGGCTTATGGTCAGTTAGGATCTTAAAATCACGACCTTCGAGGAAGTGTCGAAAAAATTTTATAGATTTGTAGATCGCGGTGAGTTCGCGGTCATATGCACTATATTTCTTCTGCGATTCGGTAAATTTTCGAGAGAAAAAAGATAACGGTTTCCAAGTATTCTCGATATACTGCTCGAGGACTGCTCCTATAGCAAAGTCTGAGGCGTCGGTAACTAAACGCGTTTTTGCGTTGACGGACGGATGCGCTAGGCAAGCTGCGTTGGCCAGGTCTGATTTAGCTGAAACAAATGCTTTTTCGGCATCAGGAGTCCAAATGATTTCGCGCTTATCGTTCTTTCGCGAGTCTTTGAGATAGACGTGAAGCGGAGCTTGAACGCGCGCTGCTTGAGGGAGGCTACGCCTGTAGAAATTTAAGGCGCCTAAAAATCGACGAAGTTCGACTACTGTACGCGGTTTCGGTAAGTTTTGAATGGCGGCAACTCTTTCTGGAGTAGGCTTAATGCCGTCGCGGCTAACCGTGTAACCTAAAAAGTTTACTTGTGGGACGCCTAGAATGCATTTGGATGGATTTAAAAATAATCCGAATTCTTTAAGTCTCTGAAACACTATACGAAGATGTTTCCTATGCTCTTCAACTGAGGAGGAGGCAATAAGAATATCATCAATATATGCGAAGACAAAATCTAAATCTTTAAGTGCTTGATGAATGTAACGCTGAAACGTTTGCGCTGCGTTGCGTAGACCGAAAGTCATGTAAACATATTCAAACAACCCAAATGAGGTGATAACGGCTGTTTTAGGTATATCTTCTTTAGCCACCGGGATCTGGTGGTACGCTTTAAAAAGATCTAAAACCGAAAAAATAGTTTTTCCTGCAAGATTGGCAGAGAAATGTGGAGGTGAGGAACGGGATATAGATCTGGTTCGGTAATCGCATTTGCCCGGCGGTAATCACCACATACTCGCCACTCACCGTTCTTTTTGCGAACGAGGTGAATAGGGCTAGCCCAAGGGTTACTAGAAGGCCTGCAAATGCCTAACTCTATGAGACGTTTAAATTCCGCCTTAGCCGCCGTCAATTTATCTGGCGGCAAACGTCGAGAACGTTCTGCGACTGGCGGGCCGGAAGTTAGAATGTGATGTTCCACATCACGAGTTCCAGAAGGAATTAGTTGACTAACCCCCGTTATTTCCGGAAATTCTAAAAGGATATCCGCGAAATTAGCTTTGCGATTTACCGTTGATATTTTATTTTCACGAACGACTCGGATTTCACCTGTAGTGAAGAGCTTAGTACTAGTATCGATAAGTCGACCATTGTGTAAGTCAACCAGGAGTTGATAATGTTTTAAACAATCCGCACCTAAGATAGCATGAGGGACTGCCGCCACGCGAAAATTCCAGACTACAGGTCGCCGAAGACCGAAGTCTAGCGCAAGGCGACGTTCGCCATAGGTGTTGATACTAGAATTATTAGCCGCAAATAATTTAAGTTCAGACGGCGCTTTTTTATCGCGAAACGTTGCGGGGAGAATTGAAATTTCCGCGCCCGTGTCGATAAGGAATTGCTGACCTGTAATGCGGTCGAAAACGTGAAGACGGCTTTGCTTTGCCCCGTTACTCCCGACCGTCTCGGTGCGAGGAGGGGGTTTCAGTTTTCCAGTTGCTTAGGCTCTTGCCAAGAACATGGCTTGCGACAGGATGTCGCCTTGGTTCCGTATTTACGGTGGATATAACAAAGGTCGGATTTTTTTGCATTTTGCGATTGCGCGGAAGAACGACCTCTAGACTTAGATCGGTTACGTCGCGATTTAAACACCTCTTTATTAAGGGCCGCGAGTTGCTTAGTAATCTGATTTAATTTTTTATCGATGCTGGATGAAGGTGCTGCATCTTT